GGGGTGCCGGTGTGCGTGTGATCTCACCTGTCCTAGGGGCAGGTGAGGGGGGGGGGGGATCGTGTCGACGAATAAGACAGTTAGTATTTGCGGCACCGTCGCTGTCAATGACCCGCGACCACGCGAGTGCATTCGCCTCCATAGAACTTAATGTTCTCTGGTGACACGGCGACGGCGCGCCAGGACTCGGGCCTGCTTGGGGACGTCGTTGTCGGCCGCCGTCATGGGAGTGGGTCCCTGCCTCAGCTGATAGCACCTGTAGCCCTGCTCCGCCCCCCTTCCTGCCCCGCCCCCTCCCCCGCGCCGCCGCCGCGGGCCGCCGCACTGAACCGCCACCCTTGATTAAGCGACCCGTTGTTGTCTTAAAGGCGCCATTGTCTCCCCCTTGAGAGCCCGTCGGGGTCACGTCGTCGGGGTCCTCGGCAGCCCCGGGTGGCCCCCGGGCGGGCGACGCTGTTATCCGCTGCTCGACGCGAAGCTCGATTCGAGTTGGCCGCCTGCTTGGGGAATTTAGGTGGCACCTGTCTGGCCTGTCCGGGTGGCTCGGCCGCGCGGCTCGCCCGGTGAGGGGGAGGGGAGGGCGTGGCGCGGCGCCGCGCCAGGGCGACTAGAGAGGGAACCGGGTGTGGCTGACCGGACCTAGGAATGCAAGGAAGCCGTTCCAAGCTAGTGTCCCAAGTGTCTCCCGGGGCGCGGCGGGCGCGGGTCGCAGTGTATGCAGTGTGGTCACGCCAGTGTAAAGCGCTTGCGTGCCGAACGGGCGGCGCCCCCCCGGGCGATCTCATTGCTCGTTGTCCCGGCGCGGCGCTGCGCGAGCTGCGCGCCGAGGAGGTTGACATCTCACTCGCGGCCGCGCCCCCTTCCCCTTCCGTTTGCACTCCACTGGTACCCCGTGGTACCGCTAGCGGAGGTGCCATGCCGACGCCATCGACGCCCAACGGTGCTCGCGCTACTACACCTTCACCGTCGAACGAAGGTGGTGGCGGGTGGCGGCGGCCACTTCCTCGATCGTTCTCCACATTTGTGATCCTTCGACACATTTAGGTCGGTCGACCAGGAGGCGGCGACCTCAGAAACGCGGCTAAGCCCCCCCCCCTTTCCCCCCTTTTCCCTCTTACCTATCACGATCGTTTTCCCTCGCCAGGATGTTGTCTCTTTGACGGCGGAAACCTTCCTCCGGAGAGCTCTCCATTCAACAACAGTGTTGCATCCTGTATCCCCGTGTAGAGCCCGGTGAAGCACGGACACCGCCAGGACGGACGGACGGACTGCCGCCGGACGTCGCGAGAATGTTAAACAGGGTGTAGCCGAAGGTGCAGCAGCGGTAGCGGCGGGAGGGCGGGAGCCGCGGGCCGCGCCTCGCACCGTTAGCCGCAGGGGCAAGGTGCGTAGGGGATTCGTCCATAAGGCGTCGTTTGCGGACACTTTGGCGCCCCTTCCCCCTCGCCCGTCCCACCGGCGTGGCGCGCGCTCGGCGGCGGGTTCGATCCCCGCCGCCTCGGCCCGCGCCGGCGCCCACCTCGTGGGAGGGGGCGGAGTCGCCGGCTCTTCCACTCAGCGAGAGGACCGGCGGTGGTCCCGCGGCGACGCCACATCTCTACACGCGCCACGCGCCGTCCTGCACATCGGCAGCGGCGAATTAAAGGGAAAGGTGCGGTGCGGTTTGAGTTGCAAAGTGAAAGCGCGGGGATGCGCGGCGCCGCGCCACGCCGCGTCGATGTCATCAGGACGCCGCCGGTGGCAGACCGGCCGAACCCCCTCGGCGGTGGTGCCCCCCCCCCTCCACTTCTCCTCCCTCCTTGCTCGCTTACGGCCGGCCCCGCCACCTAACGTGAGTGAGTTCCTGAGATGCCACGGCCGGCCTTACTGGGCCGGTTCCAAACGAATTTGCATTGACCGTACGTGCGTGGCGCGGCTCATGGCGACTGGCGGGCGGGGCGGGGCGGGTGCGGCGCGTCTTTCTCCGGGTGGCATCCATGGCATAGGAGTGGGCATGGCATGGGCGTGCGACGGGGCTTGCGGTCCCTGACGTGAGCTGTGCCCCGCGCCGGCCGGCCCTGGCGCTCATACACTGTCGTGCGGACGGAATAAAATCTCGAAAGGCTTTAGCCCGTGCTGCCGCATCTTCTCTCTTCGGCGAGGTGCCCCCCACTCTCCCGTACCCCCCCCCC